TGTTTTTCTGCTTTTCAAAATATATGAGAAAAGCTGAATGGAGTAAGTTGACTGTGGCATGTTTTTGTTGGGGTTCAGTTTGTCATATATCTTTGTTTCTAAGCCAGGAAGAGAGCCTACCTTGCGTGGTCCATTGCTCTTCAGTTCAAACACGTCCATGGTATAGTTGATCCTGCGACCGTAGTGATCAAACTGAATGTTCCCTGTCAGGCCCTGAATGTGCACCTGGATTTACAACAATGATAGTAAGGACTGGGGAAAACCATGAGATCAATTTACAAATAGTAATGTATGATTATGTGCATGCATTGTTTCATTAGATGAATCCCCATTCCCTTATTTTATCATTACATAGTTCTTGATCCTCGCTCAACCTGGAATTCGTTTTGGTTTGCCATGATCCAAAGCTCATTTGTCTTATTTCTGGTCTGAGGAGCGAGGCAGCTGCCTGGAGGAGCTATAGCCGAGGATATATGAGTACATCCTTAGCAGAAGTCTGTTACCAATTGACAAACCCCTTTAACAGAAATCAGTTTGTGTTTGGACGCCTCACAGTAAGAGTCAAAGAAAAGGATGTCTTATGGCAGCTAAAATGTATTTCACAAGTTCCTCTCTCCTTACAGTTTCAAATTGCATCTTATGTGGACAGGACTAAGATGCCAAGAAAAGACACAAGTGAAGGAAATGTGGATGCAATTAGGGGAACGATGTTCGGTGGTCAATTTGAATCTAGTGTGGGAGTGACAAACCCCTCACCACCCAACAATGAAATCTGCTAGGAGGGGTACATTAAGGCATCATTACAACAGCAACACAAAATGACTGCAGAAGAAAATGCCAACCACAAATAGTGTCCAAAATGAGATTTGATTTTATGAAAATTATACTGTCACCACAATGCCCGGCTCCTGTCTCAGCACACTTCCTGTCCAAGACTTATTTTAATGGAGCCTCCTCCTCATTCCATCGTTCAAGCCTCAGCTTTACCTGCCCTAGCTCCACAGCTGATTCCAATGTAATATACTCGGCTGTGTCGCATCAGCTCCCAGACCCAGCCAGCTTAAAAGCCAGTTCACGACTCATGCAGGCTGTTGGACTGTTGTCAGTTCGCCACATTTTTCAGCTGGCTGTCTCACCGTCTCTGATTTTCCTCTGTGCTCCATGTCTCTGTTCAGATCTCCACGTCACTTCACCGCTGGCTCATGTTTGCTGTGGGACCTCTTACTACGCTCATGTTTGGACTCTATCAGTTTGCTCTGCCCATGTTTGTTTGCCTCGTTTCCTTCACTGAATACTCAAGTGACTCTTTGTTCCAGCCTAGTGTGCTGCGCCTTTTTGTTCATTCAAGAGACTGTCTCGTTTCATATTCATCTGTGGTACGTCTTTTGGAGGCGCTCTGTCTTTGTCAAGGTGCATGTTAATACTGCATCCAAGTCCCAACAAAACTTTAAAATGCATAAATGTAAGTAAAACATTTCTAGAACATTTTCTCCTTTTCCATGCCAAATGCTTTGCTGACTATTTGTGCATGTGTGCGTCGATATATGTGAACACCGTTTGCCAACACGAGTTTGCCAACCGTCAATACTAAATACTATAACATCATACTTGCACCAACCTGTTTGAGTGCGCGCTCCATATCTATTCCTTGGTTCCAGGGAGCAGCTGGATTGGCCAGGCAGTCACCAGCGTTGCCACGACGACTGATATCGATTTTCTGACGGCGAAGGGTGCGGAAGGCCTCGGCCATCACAAGGACGCCGTCGTATGTGAGAGAGGAGGTATACTGTTGAATGGAAGAGAAAACAGAAAGGGAGAAGGGACAGAACATAAGAAAAATTGTTTATTGACTGATGAGGATTTCTTTGTCTGTCGAAATTACGCAATACGGCAGAAATGTATGCTGTCACAGTTAATTTGCATGACTATATAAAGATGCAATACATCTACATACAATTTTTATTCTAGACTTAAAATCAGTAGTGTGTTTCTAAAATCTTAGACTAAACTAATTTGTTAAAAAATATGATAAGTATTAACCTGTTTTACACCTAATTGTACACACTTTTCTGATCTAAACAAACTAAACAAACCTTTAAAACCTTAACTTAGATTTACCTGTTAGCCTGTGAATTAAGAGACAATTCAAGACATTTTTTTTCTGGTCATGTGATGCTAATTTTTTGTGGTAAGTGATAAATTGTGCCTTTCGAAGACAATTTGTCCACAATTTTATTACAACCCACTTACAGTATTTCAGTGGTGGAAACTTAAGACACTGTAAAGTAAATCACCACTGCAGCACTGTTGTGTTGTGTTTAATGTTGTTTAAAAAGAAACATTCAAATTGTCTCTCTAGTGACGAAACCTTACTCTGCACAACTACATGAATTTAGAGACACAGCAAACAGTGTTTGAATAGCTTTCTGTGATTTACCAGGGCAAAGCAGAATACGCTGATGCTGCAAGCCTCTATAGTTTATGCCTATGTGATTTATTTCTAAGATGAGAACCAATTTAATCTCAGACAGCAGCTGTACTGCATCAGAGCATCTTAGCTTCACACTGTATGAACTAACTTCACCGGTAGTCATGCTGCCCTGCGCCTCAATCTGTTTCACCGCCTGTTTATTTGACTTTCACAGTTAATGCCAATCAGCATCACTATAAATGTAACATCACTGTAAAGCTGACAGTTTTATAGAGGGTTACAGTTGTCCCATACAGTCACTGGGCAGGATCTGAAATACATTAAAGTGACATTAAATCATACTGTTAACCTGTAAACTGTTCATTAAATTCACTTAATCAGGGATAGTGAAATGTACATTTCCATAATTTATAAATGTGGCATCATCAGGATATCATCTAAAACAGGATGTAGCTTGTACAGATTACTGAATGGAGCTACTGGGCACACACCCAGAGGCCCAAGGGTAGGAGACCCATGGAGCAGAGCCTCGGTTTAAAGCGGCTGTTAACATTTCTTGCTGAGAAGTCAATCAAGTGATGATAGAGACTGAAAATGACTAAAGACAGACTCAAGATGGTCACAAAAGAGACATAGTGAATCTAACAGAGACACAAAACAACCACAAGGAACTGCAAATTACCCAGAAAATACAAAACGAGCAGAACATACTGTTTCAAGTTTTAAGGGACCTTTAAAATGTGACAGTGATCAAGAACAAAAGACAGGGTAAGAGATGATCAGTATCCATTTTCTAATGAAACTCTTAAAAGTGGTGGCGATCTTGAGCGATAGTTTGACAAATTCATTATAGGTAAGACACAGCGCAGCAGGGAACAGCACCACACTGTCAGCAGCAACACTCCCACCCGGCCCACACAAAACCACATATAGTGCAGCACAGACAGAAGCAGTCAAACACACAGTGGGTTGCCTTCACATCATGGAGGAAACGAGTGGGGAGATGAAGATGGGAGGAAAGAGGGAAGTCAGCTGAGAAACTCTGTTGATGCTCTCCACACATCTGCAGGTAGTTTTCTCACTGACATCCCTTGATTTGTATCCCACAAGGCGCATTTTGGAAGGCTGCGCAACCATGTCATCCTCCTTTCATCTCCCCCCTTTGAAACTAAAAGAAGCCTTTAGGCATGCCACTGACTGAATCCAAATGAAGGAGAAGTCAAAACTGAACCATCTAGCATAGTGTTCTCTGTTTTTGTCAGGGCTAGGACAAGAACATATTAGGGACACAGAAAACAGTGCTGGCCTTTAAGGAGACCAAATTCTGGATAATAATTCCAAAGTTCAGCTAAAATCTATCAAGTCAAAGGAGGATCCAGTAAAAGAACGCACGCACTGCTTTTCACACAGAAACTAACCATAAAAAATACATGCAGTGTACATCTCGCTTTATATCATGTGTACAAAGAGTTTCATGAGTGAACTGACCTGAGTGAAATGGAAGCATGAGTTGAAGTCAAAATCTTTTATTCTATTTACTAATTAATGATTTTTCAGGCACAGTAGCAGTATGGCTCTAGGCCAGTACTGTTTGTCTGTTGGTTGATACAGTACCTGCTGAATATAAGCATGCTGGCATTTCCATTTTGAGCATGTCAGCATAGCTCAGAGCGCTGCTGGGTATAGCCTGGCAGAGCTGCTAGCACGAGCATGTACAGTACTTTATTTCAAATAAAAATATATACAGCAGGCCTCAAGAGTGTTCTTTATATTAACAATATAGACTTATTGGGTCTCATTCACAAACAGTGTGTGCATCCAAATCAATGCTTAAACCATGCATATGATCAATTTACACACAAATTTGGGATTTATCAATATATTCTTACCTAAATTTGTTTGTACTCTGCGAACAAATTTAGAACTGCCTCGGACCATGCGTATACACAAATGATGAAGGGTTGGCTGTCTGAGAAAATGTAAACACACACCTTTAACTAAATGCATGGCATATTAAAACGGCATTAATTTTAAAAACTAAGTTAATAGAGTTATAATAGAGTTAATTATAATTAATTTAAGGCTTTAACCATTAATTTACTAATGCACTGGCCAAATGTAACCCATTAAATAATCATGAAATTGATGCTATTTCATTCTCATCAATTACTATCATAAAGAAAAATATTTAACTATCCCAGTCCCAGTGTAACAGTTGTAGCTTACAAGTATATGAGAATATATACATGAGGACCCTATATGAGCATGTCCATACTGAAACGTAACAGTGTTGGTTTTCATTGCTTTTATTGACTTGGCCCATAATGATCAGCTGCTCCCATCAATTTCTAGTGGCATGAAATTGCGCATACAGCAGATAGCCAGTGTTAACTGGTGGCCACCTGGTTCATTTGTAGCCTATTAAAAGCCATGCAGGCTAAATGGTTCCAATTTAATTCCAAGCATGTGTTAAGATGGCATATGAATCCTTGCTGGAAGACAGTGCAGCCTGTTCCTTCAGGAGACAGTGCATTTCCAGAGACTGACATAACATGTTGGAAGAGAGGGACAAATGACTTATCAGCCATTCTGAACTGCAAAGACCAGCTTGCCAGCACCCATGCAATTCCCTGGAATGGCATCATCGGATATTCCGCTCTCACCTGATACCTCAGGTTGGAGTCTTGTGCTTCTTGCTTTTGCAGCACATGTTAGTGAATGAGGCCCGTTGTTATATACAGTATATAGGACTGTCATCCACATTGTGATGTTAGTTGGAATATGGAGAATGTACATCAGATCTGGATTAAATTATCAGAATGTTAAGTGCAAGGATCATGTAATTATCTGAATGGTATAAAAACTGGGTGGAAAAAGCCCAAAAGAGGCTGTAACTTTCAAACGATATGTGTAATCCTAAGCATTGTGACTGAATTTTGATAAAGTTAATGTATTACTTTGTCAGGTCACTGATTATTTTCATTACATTTAAAAAAAAAAACTCTCCAGGCACACCAGAACTCATTTCAAGGCATATCGGCTGAGATTCATTGGGTTAGGAGATTTTGATTGATGGCCAACAGCAACTAGCTCAAAATCCCAATAGGGCTTTTCACAGTGCGCAGTATTAGAACAGAGCTCTACTTGGCCTGAGGCTACAAAGCCCAAGGCTAACTGAGCTCCGTTTTTACACAGCACCAATTAGCCTAGAGCAATTTGGAGGCATCTGTTTTCCCTAGAGAGAGCTGCTGTTCTGTTATTGTGTTAAATCATTCAAATAGTGTTTTCTTGTTTGCAAAAGGCAGAGATAAAACATTATTGTGGTTGCAGCGGGAGGCAGGGTTGCAATGTATGCAATTTTCAAGGTATGACAACCATCCCAGATATCACGGTTTCACGGTATTAAGGTAAATTACACAATTGCTATTATTATCAGAAGTATGAAAAAGGTGTCTTTTTTTTATTGCAAATGACTGTGAGAGTTATTTGAGCTGGATTGCAGAACTAGATTGACCCTAAATAATAAACAGTTAAATAATAAACAATTAAAAAACAGCATATAAATATAACATGTTATATAACTAAAACATGCTAGTTTGCATGTTAGCACCAGTAGTAGAGGAAGTATTCAAATCCTTTAATTAAGAAGTATAAGTACTAATATCAAAACGTAAAAAGCCTACTCTGTTACAAAAAATGTGTTACAAGAAGTCCTGCATTTATAATGTTAAATAAAAGTATTAACACAAAAGTTTTTATAAAGTATTAAAAGTATTAGTATTCTACTTAATGTAGAAAAATGTTATACTGTACAGTATATTATTACATTAACAGCTTATCACTCACGCTTTGATATAAAAGCAGGGTTTTCTGTTATACTTGGTTGAACTGGAGCTCTGCTGAACTAGTTTGTATTCAAGTGCAACTAATGATTTCAGGATTACCCTCGTAACGCAGCATGGTGGAACAGTGGTTAGCACTGTCACCTCTCAGCACAAAGGTTTAAGATTCAAGTCCGGGCTGACCCGGGGCCTTTCTGTGCAGAGTTTGCATGTTCTCCCTGTGCCTGTGTGGGTTCTCTCCGGGTGCTCTGGCTTCTTCCCACAGTAGGAGTGAGTGTGGGTGTGTGCGGTTGTCTTTCTGTAAGTGTCAGCTGTGTGATAGACTGGCGACCTGTCCAGGGTGTACCCCGCCTCCAGCCCAGTGTCAGCTGGGATTGGCCCCAAGCGACCCTGGTTAGGATAAGAGGTACAGATATTGGATGGATGGTTAACCTGCTGATTACTTTCTTCATTAATTGACTGACTGTAAAACCAGTCAGTCGCGTACAACAATAGTGAGACACGCACACTCATTTATGTGAGCCAGGAAATTTTGTGTGTGTTTCTGGGGTCAAATCAGGATCAATGCGAGTTCTCTTGTAAGTCAGAGATTAAGGAACAAACAGGCAATGTGGAAAATGATTTCAATAGAGCAATGTTATAACTAACATTTATTGTTTGCCATTAAAGTAACAAGCAGGAAGCACTTTGATCTGCTCTGAGGGATGGCGTTGATCTTAAAGGTGCTGATTTTTGAAATATCCAAAGTAAAAAGTAATCCCACACTGCTGATTTTAATTTCCTTTTTGGTGGATGGACTTTGGTGATTTCAGCCTCCTCTCTGCCATTTGTCCACTGCATGTGTGAGTGTAGCGCCTGTTGCAGAGTCTGACAGGCAGCGGTGGAAGAGAGGTGCGCACGCATTGTGTTTTTTTTCTTCAACACCAGTAAAAAGCAAATGTGCATGGTATGATAAACATCAATTTTTATACCATGATATACCGTGAAACTGTTATACTGCTGCAACCATAGGGGGAAGAGAACCTTTGTATGCACTAAATCAGAGACGTTTGCAGTTTCAGAATTAGAATCAGCTTTGATTGCCAAGTGCTGTATGTTGAGCATTACAAGGAATTTGTCTCCAGCACAGATGATCTCAGTGTGTTTTAGGCAACAGACAATACGCATGTCCCCTGCCTTTTGACGGCAGGGGACATGTGGGAGGAGGAGGAGAGGCAGTATTCCTAAATATTATATACATATATACACATTTTGTCTTGAAAGTTAAGTACACCTGCAGTTGCTTTTGCCTCAATTTTGTATATCTAAGCATGTTCGCTGTCTATCACCACACCCTTACCTCAATTAACACACTAAGCATTGTATAAACTGTAAGGGACGTGGGCGCAGCCTACATCTGCTAATGAAAATTCATTAAGTGAATCTGAGAACAATGATTAGTCAATTAACACTGGTCCCTGGGTGAAGAATGACATGCCAATAATAAATTAACATTACCATCAATATATACAGTATTTGTATCACTGAAAGACTCATACACAGCATAACCTTTACTGTGTGTGTGTGTGTGTGTGCGCGCGTCTTCTGAGAGTGGCTGCATGGTAGTGAGCATGCTGGAGGGGGAGCAAAGGACAGAGAGACGCAGTGTGGTGGATTATTAATGAGTAGGTGGACATATTTCCAGTTAATATATGCACAAAACAACAACAATTGGCTTCCGGTTAGTATTCAATCAATAAAGGTGTTGTGAGGGTGGAGAGAGGGACAAAGACAGAGACAGAAAGGAAAGTTGGTACAGGACATGAAAATGAGGCACGCTAATCTGACAGAGGAAGGGACATGGGTAATAGGAGATGGTGAATGGAGGAAGCAGAACAGATACAGAATGCGACAAATAAGAGGAAAAGCCAATATAAAGTGTCTCAGGCCACCATGTGCCACCAGAACAGCTTCAGGGCTACTTTGACTCAGTGAGTCTCTGGACTCTAATGGAGGACGAACACCATTCTTTCAAAAGATATTTCCTCATTTGGTGTTTTGACGATGGTGGCAGAGATGCTGTCTAATATGTTAAATTACGTAATACGCTCAAATAAAATCTCCCATACATGTTCAATTGGGTTGAGATCCTTTGACTATGAAGGTCAAAGCATATGACTCACATCATTTTCATACTCATCATACTATTCACTGACCCCTGGTGCCCCATGGATGGAGGTCTTGTTGTTCAGTTTGCTTTGATTTGTGATCCATCTGTATGTAAGGGGTGCAAATGTTCAAGTAGATGTTAAACTGAAGACTAGGAGAAATATAAAGCTGGCAAAGGGTCCAGACATCACAGAGGAATATTATGTAGAACAGACATGACAAAGAAGTTTTTAGTCTGAGGAATCTGCATCAAGCAAAACGTTCCACTAAATCAGAGAAGATTTTATCAACTCAATCATTGGCAGGATCAGCTAATTCACCTTTCACACATCTTGAGGTCACACTCTGATTGCCTCTGATTGCACACCAAAGCCACCACCCCTAAGCCACACCCGTGTGTGTGTGTGTGTGTCTACTGCAGATATTTGTATCTGTGCACAGTGTTCTGGTTTCTATATGGGTGGTTAAAAGCTTTATCTGAATTTCTAAAGAAAAGGATTTCTGCGACAGCTACAGAGGTTAAGAAAGAGCTGAAGAAGAGAATAATATTTAGGAAATAAGACCCACCATAGGGGTGGGAATGAAACGGGTATTTGCAGATTTTTGACAGTGTGTACTTTTTTTCATGTGGTAGCCCACTACCCAGGATGCAAAGTTCAATGTGCCCCGAGGAGTAGAGGGGAGATGACAACAGATACTGCTGAGATGTTGGTAAAGTTGGCAAGATTCCAAGTTTTTGGATCAATAAGTCATAAGAGAAATGTTGTCAAAACACATACAACACCTTGGTTGAGAACAAGCTACAGTCAAATTTTCATCAATTTTGTGCAATCTGTACAACTAAGGACAGGTCAGTATTTTTATTACCTTAGGTGCACTTTCAGATCCAGGGTATTCTCTCTGATCCAGTTTGTTCCAGCGCTGCATCAGTTTTATGACAATAGGCTTGCTGAAGTCCACCAACTGGAATCCAGTCACATTAGCCCCGCCGTGCATGAACCTCTCCAGTGATATGTCCTTGAAACCCTGAAAAAGAAAGGAAAGAAAGGAAGGTAGGGTGGAATGGTGCAAGCCCAGAAAACAGAAAAACCATCCCATACCAGATGCAGCAGAGTGAACAAACTGTCCAAAAGTGTTTTGCTGATGTATCATACATCCCATATTCCTGCAGTTTACCTGAATATTTATGCCCCTACTTAATATGGAGAGGCTTCCACAGCTGTGAGTGAGACTTCGTGTAGTGACACTTCCTAGTGAAGTTGTTGAGGAAGGGTCCATTTGAGAAAGGGCCAGAGGTCCCCATCTCATAGGAAGTAAAGACGTGTGAGGGTTACCCTGGGTTGATGAATGCTAGCTGCTAATAGCTCTGAGAGCCTATCTAGCTTGACCTGTGTTCACTGGCCCCTTTTTCACCATCTCACAGAGAACTGCTGCTGAACAGGTTTTAGGGATTAAGGTTGAAGCAATACTTCATTTTCTGACGCAGGTTCCAGCAGCTTCCAACAGCTGCGACTTTGTTGAGAAGATACAAATGGAAATAGAATCATTCAGAATAAAAGGAATACTGCCACCTGGTAGGAATAGTAAAATAACAACGATATCAAACTGGCCAGTAGGATTTGCTTTTACTGCTAATAACTGATACAGATCTACAACTTCGGGACAAGCTGGATGTCAAACAGTAAAAGTCAACATAAATACTTATAATACACTGTGGGCCATGGCTGAAAGCAATGTCATTATAAGTTCTTACCAGGTTTGCTATGATGTAATGGTAACCTTTTATATGTTTCCCCACACTGACAGCCTGGAAGAAAAAACAGAGACAAGAGTAGAGAGAAATCAAACATTACAGCTTTGCTACTCTATCTACTGGTATGCATGTAGGATTCACAATTAACTTATAACTGCTTTAATTAAGTCTTAGGGGCCAGGGCAGGGGAGTCAAACTGCAAATAAAAGAGACTCCCTCACTTTCCTCTCCAGTGGCTCTGGTGGTTTTTATCATGGTGATTAAAAGTAGAGGCAGTGCTGAGTCTGTGAGGGCATCACCGGTTATTGGTACCATGCTGGCTCAGACTCCGCAGCCTCTTGGAACATTTAAAGAGCTTTAGCAGTGTTGTGCACGTTAGGGTTCTGCTAGCAGGCTGGTGCAGCTTTATTTTAAATAAACCCTGTATCCTGCTTTGTTAATAACATTATTAAATGCCCCGATCCAGTTGTGACAGGCTGTCAGCCCAAGAAGCAGCCTTTTCTTAGATGAATTATATTCAAATTTTGTATAGGTTTTGTATTATTTTGTGTCAATCACTTTATTAGAAAAGAACATGAACATACTAAAACTAAAGCTTGAAAGCACTATACACCAACAAACCTCAGACCTTTTGTTTTCCACACCATGCAAAGTCAATACATTGCCAGCAAACAAAAATTACTACAATACTGCCTGGGTGCTGCTGCTGCTGGTGTGGTCTATAGCTGAGGGGTCTGGCACAGTACAGCAGCAAAGTCAAAACTGTAATCCTGTTCAAACCTGAAGTCTGCAGTGTTTTTATCATTATTTGATATGTACAGTGGAATCTGACACATCATTATAGTAACAAGCTGCATAAAACTAATTAATACATTGTTTTGTTGTTGTTGTTTTCTCTTTCTCAACATCGAATATCAACAGCTATAAACTGACACAGACAGATGCCCACCCAGCCACCCACACAGCCACACACCCATACACCCACACACAGATTGCAGCTGGCAGGGGCAGACAAACAGAGCAGTCTCTGTCTCAGAGCAGGAACACTAGCCAATGCCAGCACTGCAGAGCCCACTGTGACGGGAGTGTGCGTTTGCGTCTGTATGTATACACTTGTGTGTGTTTGTGCATCTCCGTCTGTCTGTTCACTCACCATAGAAGCTAATTAACAAACAGTCTGCCTGTCTGTCTGTGATGTCGCTACTGGTGCGTGTCTGTAGCTGTATAAGTATGCACATTTACTGTAAAAGCTGCTCTGTGTGTCTGTCTGTTTGTGTTTAGCTTGTAGCATATATTCATATGATCATGTATAACTGGTAAGCATTTAAGTATGCGTTATACTGTAGGAGTATGCATGTGTGTGCATGTCTTCTTATTGTTGTGTGGATAAATGTTAGTTTTGTACAATTGTTGTAAGGACATTTCATCATGGTGGCTGGTTTTCACAAGTTCAAAGGGCAGTTTGAGGGTTAATACTGGTTTTAGGTTAGACTTAGGTTTAGTGTTAGGGGAAGAGCTGGGGTTAGGCATTTAGCTTTGACAGTTGCATTGCATTACGCATTATTACATGCATTATAACACATTATGTCAATGAGTGTCTTCTTGGATATAGAAAGACAGACATGTGCATGTCATTGTGTGTTTAGCTGTGTGTGTCATTGAGTTTGTCAGATGTGCAGACAGAGGATCAGATGTGATGACAGATGGCAGCACCAATGGGATGTCCTGAGTCAAAGGACACACACACACACACACTCCTGTCACAGCTCAACACTCATCCATCAAGCAACACAAATAATGTAATGAATCTGGACCAGTGTAAGGTGTCAGAGTGTATGCTTTCATATACTGTTTACCTCTGCACGTGTGTGTGCCCGAACTCTGTGTCTGAGTGGAGAGTATGGTGTGTTTTCTGCAAACACACAGTGATGTAACTGTTGGGGAAGTCACATTTTTCATTCCACAATATAAACTCCAGGGAAAATCTTGTTTTCTGTCCAGGTGTCAGATAGCATAAAGAGTGTTGTTGCAACTAGCTGACTGGAGCAGACAGCAGGCAGACAGACACTAGTAATACAGTGAAGGAAAACATTAGGCAATATTAGAATAATTAGCAATGTATTACTGACTCCAACTGCTTTAATAGTTTCTCACAGGGGCTGTGATTTAAGGTGGTAATACTGTCAGTGTAGTGTGATTTTTCTGCAGCCCATTATTACATGGTGAGTACTGCTAAGTCCAGGTCAATGGTCTAAACTCTGCCCTATCTATCTCAGTGATAGTAAAACTAAAGTGTGGCCTCCATTAAAGCAGCATTAAGTGATTTAAAATGCTGCAGGATCATTCAGGTTCCACATCACTGTCAAATATCTTCACATGCCTGTTTATCTTAAAGCATGGTAATTATCAATAATATTACCTGTTCTAAGATGCTTTGTAGTCTCTCAGGCTCCAAGTCAATGACGTATTTCTTCTCCTGGCGTCGATCCAGGTCCTCTAAGAGTCGGCGATATGCTGCCTCGTTGAAACTCTCCACACAGATTGCACTGACCTGAGTTAACACATATGCGTGTATTCACACAAAATGTGTACATGTGCAGGGATAAGGTCAAGCATACAAACCACAAGAAATAGCATTTGAAGATTTAATGACAAAACACAAGATGTAATCATGTGAATGCACTATGTATGTCTGTGTGTGCATGCGTGCAGCTGTGTAAATTATTCATGTATGCCGCAAGAGATGTGCTCTTGCGTGTGCGTTTGTTTTTTGTTCAGCTTGTTTCCAGGAACTTGTGCGTTTGTGTGTGTCCTGACCTGCCATCCGTCCTGACCTGCTCTCTCCATAATTGCCTGCAGTATTGCATAACCTAGACCACAGAGAGTAAGGGAAGGAAAAAAGAGAAAAAGTATTAATGCTGTACTAGCCATAAAATCTAGCCAGTATTGGTAAAATCTTGTCTTTGGTCTCTGTTATCATAACGTGGCTGCACAAATGCTGAATAGAGTTTCCAGGTGCGTTCCAACAGATTCATCAGCCTGTTTCAGTTACCAAAGCAACACCCTGAGGTCTTGTCTTTAGTCGTGGGGTTAAGGCATTTAACACTCTAAACAACAGTCCTGTCCTGAATGTCACTTTATCAACCAGCCCACAAAGCTCATCAGGGCAGAGTTATAAGTCAAAACAACAGCTTGTCATTTTCATTGAGAGTGATATTACTGATTGTGACATTTTAATGAAACTGAATTTCTCATTGCTTCTTTAAGTAGCAAACTTGGATTTAAATGTGACTCATTTGAAAACACTTATGAGTTTTATAGGCCAGAGCAACCCCCAGATAGGAAAGTTCTTTTCCTACAAAATGATGGAGTACAGTATTGAATACGGCAAGTGTGCCTCTTGGCATGATATTAGATGGGTTTGGATAGAGTTTTAAATTTAATATGATCCTATATGTTGAGCAGCAGGTGGCAATGTCAGCGAAAATGAATTCCATTATATTACCCTGAACAGCTGTCTAACCAGGTCAAAACAAGTGGAAAAATGACAATAGTGTCAGACAATTTTAGAGTGATAATTCTTTATAATGTCAAGGTCAAAGTCAAAGTGTTTATTTGTCATATGCACAGTTAGGAAACATGTTTCCCTGTACAATGAAATTCTTACTTTGCCCTCCACATGAATGCCACATAATACAAGTGAAATATAAGGTAGATGAGCAATAACACAACATATAACACTGGCACACACTGCATTTTTTCATAAGAATCTTTGTAATCTGTACCAACATCTAAAAGCAGGTTGTTAGCTTTACTCTGGAGATAGAAAGGGAATTAGATGAAAATAAAAAAAAAATCTCTGATCTATTCAGTTACATGCAGTGAAACTCACCAACCCAAACAGCATGTATCTGTATGAAATGTGGCGATGTGAATAGACACATAAATGTGTATAGAAAACAACACAAACTGCAGTGCAACAGTGCTGTGTTTTTCCTACTTTTGTAGTGGGAGCTATTTACTGGTTCAGTTGAAACAAAAAGCACATCTGAAGCCTCAGTAATCACAGTGTGTTTATATGTGTGTGTATTACTGTGGTTTTGTAAAAAGTGGAGTCTGTTTTTTGTGTGGTGTGAGATTGTGTTTTTGCCTTTATGGCCTCTCGAGTGAATTAATGTATTTGTGTTAAGGCTTGAATTGGTCTCAGTTGTTTTTGTGTATGCATTTTGTTTGTACCATCTACACATACTGTACATACTGTATGTGAATGTATGCTTGTTACGTGCATGCATGCATTTGTCATTATATGCATGTGTGCAGATATGTGGACATACCTCAGTTTATCTATGTCTCTGTATGTGTGAGGCCTGGTGTTACTCATGTTGTGGGAACATCTGTTTACACAGTCACACTGTGGGGACATAAAGCCAGCCACCAAAACGTAAACCAGTCAATTTTAGAGTGATGATTTGGTTAGGAAGGTTACAATGAGGTTAGGGTTAGGGTAAGTCTCCAGGAAATAAGTCAGCGCAATGTCCCCGGAAGTAATGGAAAAACAACGTCTGTGTGTGTGCGCGCGCGTGAGAGAGAGAGAGAGAGAGAGTGTCTGTTAGCAGGCTGTCGGTGGAGCAGAGCAGGGAGCATAAAACAGATCACACTGTTACTGCCCATTTCCCAGCACATTACAGGCAGCAGAGCCTGATGGGAGCCTATAATGAAGGGCCCTGCCTTGGCCAAGTAACGGGTGAGCACAACCCAAAATCTATGCATCCATCCTTCGCTTCATTTCCTTCTTCTATCCCCCATTCCCTCAATCTTCTGTCCTCCTCTTCCTGCTATATGCTACTGTATATCCCCAGAGGCGTATGGTCCTGTCCGTTTTCCTGCACCTCCATTCTGCCTTTTCTATGATCTCTCCACTGCCCCCATCTACCTACACTTTTCCCATGTCTTCCCTAATTACATTTTTTGTCTTCTCCTTTCTTGTCTTGCACCTGTCTTTCTTACCTTCTCTCTTGTTAGCTGCTCAACCAGTCCAACTGACCTAACCTGTCTCTCCTGCTGCCCCCTGTCCCCACCTCTTTCTCCCTCTGCTCCCCCTCAGTACTAACCCAGACAATTTGGGCCAGAGGGAGGCTGGCAGAGTTACAGACACAGTAAACGCAACTATATACACACACTGTGCAGCTCACTGATTCCCTGACACTCCCCTATACTGTGGTCTAGGGACTCTGTGTCATGTTTGACCTGTTTCTCTCCCTGTGGCAGGGAATTACTCTGTGTGAGAGAGTGTGTGTCAGAGAGAAAGGATGAGAGGAAGAGAGAGACAGCAATAACGTGCTAAGCATTCCCAAGACAGTGGTTATGGACTGAGGGCGTCAGCTGTGTCTGCACCACTAGCTTATGTGCACTGCATGATGGGATAGTTAAATTAAAAACAGGTGAATGCTACAAGACTTGAGGCCAAACCTTCGTTTCTGACTGAAACGTACAGTACATTTACACCCTTGTTTCTGCAGGTGTGCTCTGTGATCAGGACAGCACAATGGCACAGCCCTTGTAGTTTTTTCCCACAAATATAACTTTTGCAAATTAATTTAAAATTAAATCGTTCCAGGCAAATAGACTTAAAGAGATAATCATGGCTTGGTGATATTCTCTTTTTCACAGTGTGCCATTCCAAACCGAACTCAAGTTAACAGCTACACTGATTCTTGAAGCAAAATAAGTGCATTGAGTCAGACCAATTTGAAAATCTAGTTTAATTTTCTACAACTGAGTTTTGAATTTAAGCCCAAAGACAGAAGGCAGCAGATCTACCTCATTATCTCTCGTTATTACAGCAGCTATGAATCTCTGGCGGTGCCACGAGGACACCACGCAGCTCCAGTTACAGCCATTTGGACTGTTCTGGTAGACAATAAATGTAGGCTATAATACTGAGTTACAGCCCCATTTGCATACTTTCCCCAAATCCTTCTCTGACCTTTCCTTTTAAAACCCATAAGGAAGTACAATGGAGTAGAAAACAGATGAGAGCTTGAAAGGTGAAGTCTTGATTACAACAAAACTGTGCTGCTGCTGCGGCACTCCAATCATACATTTCCCTCTTTCAGTCCCCAAACTCGCTGACTAATAAGGACATACCAATTTTTAAGGTTTTTTTTTTCATATTATACAAGGAACACTGGACACAGGAATGTGGAAACCGCTTTCAAAATTCTATACAAAATTATATATTTTTGAGTAAAAATACATAGGGAGGTCAAGTTGTCAGGCATTTTTTTGTACACCTTGTTAACATATTTTTCACTGTACATTTACCTCTGTCTGTGTCGTAGAGGAAGACAAATCGGTTCCAGTCGTAGTGGTCCAGCAGTGACAGCAAAGCCCCTCTGATGGATGGCCGGAGCTGCAGGGTGAACTGGCCCTCTCCTTCTGTAGGGAAGCTGGGTGTCACTAGGCTGATGTGCAGGGCACCACAGAATGATGTCAGTGTGTTTACGGAGCGTTTGTCGTAAAGGCCGAATATGGCGAAGACCCCCCTTGAATACTGAGAACAGACTGATGTCAGGATGGAAGAGAGGAGGGTGGAAGTCATGGTGTGGGGAATAGAGGGATGCAGAGGCAAGAAGGAAAAAGGGAGGAAACATGGAAAGAAATCAGGATTCACAAATATCAAATATACCCAGAGAGACTATTTGTTGAAAGTTTTGCATTGATTTTGCAAATGAGCAAATAAGAGGATGGAATATATAAAGCCACATGGTCCTTAATTAAATTAAAACTCTGGAACCTAATTACACATGCCAATCATTTTAATAAGGGGCAATTTCAGTTTGTGTCAGTGGCACCTTCTCAGTCCTCTTTAGATCCACAGACAGCATTTTCTGAATGGTGTGTGTGGGGGTCCATAAGTGTGACAAGTTTACCAAACAAGTCTAATGAAACTGATATAAATCTTGACTATTCATCAGTGAGTTTTACAGATGATTTGTGGAGTTTGCTCTGAAAAACAGCTTTCATTTAGTCCAAAACAACATGCCACTTCACGTACACATGAGTGGAAATCAAATAAGTGGAAACCTTATAAGCTCCTGACAACCAAATTTTAAAATTTTCACACTAGCCAAAACTGACATGGTTGCTTATATAGCTGGAAATGGAAGTCAAATAACCCCACCTCCTTAGAGCTTAACATCCTTAAGATCCATCCATGCATGCACATTCACATACATTCACAAAGATACAAAGCTCTTGACCGATTCACAAGCTCACTTCGAATGTATAGTCATTTTCCACAACAACATTAACTCAGTCTTCAAACACCCTGCAGCTTTCACCCATGACAGAGAGCAGAGTGAAAAGAATTGATGTCCTCTGCTTGGGTTTGTTGTTCATCCATGCACTCAACTAAAAATGTTTGAATAAAATTTTTTTTAAAAAGCATGCAATTTGTAAACAGGGAACATATTCTGACAAATCAGTTGAAATGTGTGCACAAACCTGCGCTAAAGTTTTGTCAACCCATTTATCTTTGTCCATTCTTTACTGTTTTTGGTCTGACCTCATTCTCCTTTATCCTCTTATTTCATCCCTTCCTATCTCTCCTTAGCTTCATTCATCCTGTCAAGTAAATTCTTTCAGGCAGGCATGTTTTGAGCTGGAGCTTTATCCTGTGTCATAATTCACTCTCCAGCCTGTATTATGTCACACTGGACTAAACAGTAAGGTAGGAGGACTGCAGACTTTGCTTGTGGCAATAAATGGCCATCATTTGGTAAAAATTTCTCTGCCTCCTTCTTTTGATCTCCTTGCGCATCAATTCATTGCATATCTTTCCCCCTCACTTCTATTTTCAGGGTGGACACCGAAGCCATCCACTCTCTTTTAGCTTCCATCATCCACTTTCCCTCATTTCTTCTCTTTCTCTCTTCCTCTGGCTGCCTCCTCTTTCTGTTTCTCCCTCTCTCGCTCCTCCTGGGACTCAGAGTAATTCCATTATCAGCTATAAGCCTCAGTGGGGGTAAACACAGGGAGATGCAGCTTTGACGTTTTCCCTTGTGCCAATTAAACAAAGCCGAGGCACCTGCATCCAGGAAGCGATAAGGTAGGGATTTAGCCTTTGATTATGACAGGAGCTAAATGTCTTCAATTCAAAAAAATCAGCATACTATGTACTTAGCATGCCTCATTCAGTAGGAGCTGAGTCACAGTGAATGATTCCAAGATAATATTTAAGGCATTGCCAGGTTTTATTTGTTACTTAGAGAACATAGCAACAAGATGGTTGGGAAGGTGTAACTATGTGCGATAAACTACTTAATGACAGGTGTGGCATTTTATTCAGACACCTGAACAGATTAGTACCTGAAATGCACAAAGATATTGATGCTAAATCATTAAAATTAAAGGCTCAGAGGGTAAAAACAAATGTTCAGTTAAAACCCAAAAACTGCATAATGACACAGATGGTAGCAAAAAGCAAGCAGACACAGATATTCAACTGGAAAACCCTGGGAAAATCAAACATGTCGTTCATTCATGATGGCAGATTACTGGTTTGAAAAACGGCTCTTGTCTGAGAGAAACGATGTCCTTCCACTGTGGAAGGCCAAAAGAAAATTTATGTACAAATGTATTTTTTTGACTTTGATTTGTCATGGAAAATGTCAGAACCTTGCTTCAAAATGAAATGTGTTTTTGGGCAGCAGCTGTTATGGGGAACAGAGAAAAAAAAAAACAACAACTTGTCCTTCAATGATATACTGTATTTTCCACACTTTTAAATTCACCACTAGCTATTTTCACCTTTAAGTTGTCCAGTTTGGTCCAGTGATGTCTAGCACATGCTGAATGTCTGAGTGGCATACTCTTAGCCGGACACGAGTTGAGAGGTCAAAGGTTGTGCCATAAACACTCACAAAAAATGTATGGGTTATTTAGGTTTGATCAAATTACACTGAGTTACATGTTTAAAAGAAGCTGCACCTTTATTTATTTAGTTTTTAATTTTTAATTATGTTTATTTCACCTGTTACTTGCTTGAATTTAGTCTATTTTTACCCATGTCTGCACCCGTGAGTTCAAAGAGAGAGAGAGAGAGAGAGAGAGAGAGAGAGAGTCCTGCACCCGCAGGTACCCGATGGGGATCCCAAAAATGCTTTGTAAATGGTAAAAACTCGAAGTACAAAATATGAATCAAATTAAATTTTCCCAGAGGTGATTTCTGTTATATTTGTTAGATATTATCACACCAATGTGCATAAAAGTTGTTTTTCTTCTGGCAAGTTTTAATAACTTATTTGATTATATAAAAAAGGTGTATTTCAGTTGATTTGACAGCTTTGATTGGCGGTCTGATGCTGTCACTCAGCTACTCGGTCGCTACTGCACAGAATATGGTTGATAAATGCCAAGATGGCAGCCACTGTAATCACAATATTTTAGTTTCACCTTTGCATAGTAGAGGAAAGTGGTGATGCATTGTCCATATTTACATACAGTTTATGGCCTAGTTGCAGCTTGCAGACGTCACTGTCTGGAAGTTTCATTTTTCATCCACCTCCTGGGTCTCCATTAAAACCTAAGAAAATATTGATAGCTATAATCCGAAACCATTGTATTTCCATTTTTAAACAATACCATGACATCTGCATCTATACACAATGATGCAGACAGGCCCAGAGCACATAACAAGAATCTCTGTGTGTCTGATTCTTCATTCATTCATTCATTCATTCTCTCGCACCTCTTCACTCTTTTATTACCTTATTTTCTATACGTGCCTCCTGATGCCATCTTTGCCTCTCTGACTCTTTCAATCTTTCTTTCTCATTTATTTCTCTTTCTGATGTACTGTATGGCTCGATGGGCTTGTTTCTCTGCAACCCCCTCCGCCACCACCAGCAACATGCCGCAAGGCTGGAATGTGCCAGACAGTGGCGTCATTGTAATAAAATGTGTGCTAAGCTTGCTTCATAAAGCTTTAATGAGTAAAGGGGACCAGCGGCATGGTGCATCATCACCACAGTAAAATCACTGGACACAATAGGTCTCCTGGGACTTCCTCTATCTCTACCTCTTGTTGCCTCCCACTCGGTTGTTCTCTCAACATCTCCATATGTTCGATTTTTTTTTTTATGTACAGTCCCCTGTCTTTTTCTGGTTCTTAATTGCTCACTCTATCTGTCAGACCTTACTCTCTCTCTCTGTGCAGACCTCTCAATAAATCTCTTTAAGACGTCCCTCCCTGCTTTTTCTGCATTACTGTACACAGTACAGTATATCAAACCTCTGCATCCTTACATCTTTCTCTGCAGCTATTCCTGCCTCTCTCTGATTCAGTGCAATTGTGTCTCTGTGCATTTAGAAACCATACATATCCTGTGTATCATTGAATTTTTTAAATTGAAATTTGCACAATTTGCACAAAAGGAAAAAAATAAGTTGGTTAAGCAGTACAATACTTTATATCTAATCTAATATCTACATGTATATCTAATATCTTAGCTCTCTTTACTTCTTTATACTCAGTATGCCACTTATGACCATCTCCCTGTAATTTGTTTGCACAAGAGTACTGTAGTGCTGCCAGACTGCACCAGAATTATGCTCTGCTACTATTTCTCCAAGTGAGGAGAAAGAATATTTGCACTCCAGCTAAAATTCAGATACATATTTGCAAGCATGTGAAGATCCAATCATCTTTTAAGGGTATGTCCTGCAAAAGAAATAATATAAAAATTGAAATGGTCTAATTTTTGTTTTGAAATTTAAAGTGTGTTGATTTATTTATGATGTCAAAGCTTGCCCAAGTAATAAACAAAATAATGTGCCACTACAAAAGCTGCCTGGTAGCTGCTGGCAGCATTTCAGCAGCATAGTAAATATAGCTGTTTCTAGCTAAAGTTAACTAACAAAAAATGAAACCGCAGTAAAACATTCTTTCATTTTGTTACAGCTAAAATGGTACAAGTTTCAGATTATGTAATTTTAGTTAGATAATAATAAAAGCAGGGCCATTCGCATCTTGGGCTGGCTATCACATTGGTTTCTACCAATGCTAGGTAGCGAACTAGCACTAATGACATTGACAATGATAAAAGCATCTGAAATTGACAGGGGTGAACTGATACCTTTGCGGCTGCAGCAATGAAAAATAGTGTCAGTGTTATAGTTGATATTAATGTTAATTCTTTTTCATTCATTCACACAAATTTATACGAATTTTTATGGCTTTATAACATTCACCCTCTGACACCTGGCTATTATAGAGAATGTGAAGTTGTCAACACCCTGTATTAAATGTTGGGCAAATGTGTCATCACGCTCACTATCAATCATGGATATACAGTATAGACTACATACATCTATAAGTTACTTTAAAATAAATACTATCCCATACAGCTGCACACAGTAGTGAATCCTTCAGCTACGTCCAAACATCCACTTTAGTGTTCAGTTTGAGCACAGTCTGGACAGAAATGGATTCATCTGCAGTGTTTGTGTTTTCTGCCGACAGCTGCTAGATAGCATTAGCTTCTGAACTATGAGTTGAGCAG